GTGTGCAAAGATCAAGTTGTAAAGGCATATGTGTGTAGTTTATTCATGTTTTTTATCTATTTGTTACAGTTTTATCGTGTCTGAGTTGCAGTTTGTCATTTTGCTGTGTTTAATCTGTTTATGAATAGTAATAATCAGTCTCTAAACTAAAGTGTTTCAGAGTAATCTCTTGCACAATTTATCCATTACACTCTCAGAAATAAAGGTACAGGAGCTGTCTCTGGGGCAATACCTTTTCAAAAGGTACATATTTGTACCTGGATGGTCCATAATGGTACCTTAAATATACTTTTTAGGTTCATTTGGGCACTAGTATGCACCTTTAAGGTACCACTCTGGACTCTTTGGGTACAAATATGTATCTTTTGAAAAGGTACTGCCCCAGTAACAGCTCCTGTACCTTTATTTCTGAGAGTGATATAAATTAGTAACAGACTTCAGCCACTAATAAGCAGACAACTATAGAAATAGACAGTGAGACACACAGACGGTAAAATATAGGATAATGATCAGTGGATTTGTCATTTCAAACGTGCAGCAAAACAAACCCGGAGAAACGTATTTTACATTTTGTAAGAATGTAGGCTGAAATACAGATTTTCAATGAGCCTGGGCTGGAAAATAACACTATATGAAATTGTATTCTGAGCATTTAACCCAAAAATCAATATCTAATGTGGTATGGTTAAAAACTGAAAAGTTAAAAAACATTAAGTTATGCATAAGAACTGCCCAATACATATGAGTGGGGCTGATATGAGTGGGGACCTTAATTTTGAATAATCCAGCTCAAGTGTTTTTGGTGAACTGTTATGCCATTAAAAACTCACTACGTTTAACAGCTGGTTTATTTAAAATTAATGATCTTCACAGCCTGATTTAGATAAATGGGCTTCACAGTGGACAAGAAATACTGAATCAAATTCTGTTGTTTTGTGGCATTTCTTTAAAATATGGACATTTATTTGACCATAGTATTTCAATGTGGTTTCAATACTCAACTGCTGCTCCTCACAGCGCTTACATTTAAATGGCCTTTCGATTGTTTTACACGTGAACAACTAAATTAACGCTTAGATCTATTTAAAAGACTATATTTTGATTAAATTACATTATCGATGCTGTGAAAGAAACCTTGTGAATTTAAAAACAGTCACATCAATCTTTTAGCCTTTTATCGATGGCTGAAAAACACTTGCCATGTATATAACCTTTTGACTGATTGCTTTTAGTTTATCACTAAACTAAAAGCACCGTCTGCAATTACTTTTTTTTTGTTGTTCGTTTTCTGGCTTGCGTTCGAGTGGGTTTCCTCCGGGTGCTCCGGTTTCCCCCAGAGTCCAAAGACATGCGGTATAGGTCAATTGGGTTGGCTAAATTGTCCATAGTGTATGACTACGAATGAGTATGTATAAATGTTTCCCAGAGATGGGTTGCAGCTGGAAGGGCATCCACTGCGTAAATCGTGTGCTGGATAAGTTGGTGGTTCATTCCACTGTGGCAACTAAGCCAAAATGAAAATGAATGAATGAATATTTTCTGCCCTTCTTAATCAGGCCTATTTTATGTATGAATTAATTTCAAAAAGAGGAAGAAAGGGTCCAATAAAATACAATAAAATAATGACTGACTTATAGTGATTCCGAGTTGGTCCTTAAATTACGATGCTTTGGGGAAACAGACTGTTAAATTAAAATCAGTTGCAGATTTTTTTTGCTTACGATGCTTGTGGAAAATCCAGTAATACACTAACAAAACATTGGTTCTTGAGGTGAATATGTTGACTCTTAGAATTCTGTCAAACATCACAATGTCATCATTGTTATTGTTATTACTGTTTTAAATAAGTAACGACCACTAGCATACTGTGCCTTTAAGGATGAGTGAACTACAGTACAAAACTGTAAGTTTATATGCTTCAAGAACAGTATGAACACATTTACATGAACACCAATATGTGGATTACTCAGGAAAGTTAGCTTTTTAAATAGCCCATTGTGAGGCGGCACGGTGACACAGTGGTTAACACTCACAGCAAAAAGGTCACTGGTTCGAGTCCCAGCTGGGCCAATTGGCATTTCTGTGTGGAGTTTGCATGTTCTCCCCATGTTCGCATGGGCTTCCGCCGGGTGATCCAGTTTCCCACAGTGAAAAGACATGTGCTATAGGTGAGTTGAATTAACGAAATTGGCCGTAGTGTATGAATATGTGTGTGTGTGTGTGTGTGTGTGTGTGTGTGTGTGTGTGTGTGTGTGTGTGTGTGTGTGTGTGTGTGTGTGTGTGAGAATGTGAAAGTGTATGGGTGTTTCCCAATATTGGGTTGCAGCTGGAAAGACATCCGCTGTGTAAAACATTTGGTGGAAAAAGGACTAAGCTGAAGGAAAATGAATGAATGAATAACCTATGAAACAAGTTTTTATATCCAAACAAAGAACTTCCCAATGTACTGTAACTAAATCAAAATTACAAGACTTTCAAAACAAATCTGCTTATTTTTTAGGTTGTGACGTCAGAATGTAATAATTTGCGTATCTAACTCTAAGTATTTCATTTGTTTTGCCGGCTGTCATGTTAAATAAATCATTAAAAACTGAAGAACAATATTGCGATGAGTCAGTGGAAATTTACGACTCATACTGTATATTATCTTGTCATGCAATTTCAGACGCAGCTATTTGCTTGTATCTATTTCAGCTACACAAGATGAGAATGCATATTTACAAATTGTTGGGTCAGGAAAGCATCTGAGTTTGCGGTATATTTTTTTCCTACTTGAATGCAAAACTTTTAGCTTTGTTTGGATGTGCTTAAATCTCCAATAAGAACTGTCACACATGCGCACTTTAATAAGCCAACAGAAAGAAGTGTAATGCAGCTACATGCTAAGCGGAAAACATGTTAACATGTATACATGGCCTTGTTGGCATAATTGGGTTAAAACATGTATTTAATTGTTGTGTACTGTAGCTTTTCAATTGCGAAATATTTTGTTTATAAAGTCATGAAGATGTAATTGTGTTTGTTGTTTCTTAAATTGCAATATTAATGTAAATACTTCTTATGTTAAAATTCATTTACTACCAATTTAACCTTGTTGTAAAGTAAAACCACTGCAACTTTAAGAAGTAGCAATGCGCAGCCTATAGAAACACTTAGAATTATTTCCACTAAGTATAATTTCTGGTGGATGTATTGATAATGTGTGCCTGATATGTTATTGACAGGACTGTCAAATGAAGACCCAAGCACTGTACCAGCATGCAACCATGAAAAGACCAATGCCCTCACAAATGGCTTATAAGAGCAAAGCACTTAATCCAAGTCACACAGCTGGTCCAGACCCCCCTTCAGTCTCAGCTTAACACTTGCTATTCTCTCTGAGTGCCTTAGATACACACCACACGGTCAAAAACAGACTCCATTACACCTCCAAAGTGACAACCAATAGACTAATAGACCAATAGGCACACCATGAAGATGAATTGTAAATTATGTTTCCTTCCCAGCTAAAATCACCATGCTGGTCACCATAAACAATGCAGGAAAGCTGTATCTAACATAAGATGATGACAAGAAATGAGGGGTTTAAAAAAAGGCTGAACTTAGTGTGTAACCACAACACTTTACAATAATATGCAATTTGTTAATGGTTGATTTGGCATCTGACTTATGTGTAATTATGCAGAAGTTACTGTTCTTATTATTATAATAATACATGTATAAAATCTAAAAAAGGGCACTGTTAAATAAAAGGTCATTCTACATGTAATGCATGGAATCTTATTTTCAAAGTGTTATTGCTCCCCAAAACAATGAATTAATATTTGGTAAATACAAATAAATATGAATAAAATAAAATATAAATATATACATGATGAAAAAATGAAAAATGTTAGATATTTTTCATGTTTTTAACAAACTGACAAACTAAAGCAATTTATTATCACAACATTAACTTTATTAAGGTTAATTAATAAAATTCCAATTGTTCCTTTCATGTGAATGTTAATCACAGTGGCCAATCTTTACATAAGCCACTTTTGATTTTAGCAGTTACCATGTTTGGGAGGGTCACATTAAAATCAGTTGTGACGCTTATATGGAACATGTGTGAAACACATATAACATGAAAAAAAAAATGTTCACACGTTCCCTGTTTTAAATTAAAAATGTTTTTAAAACACATTTTACACTTCACATCAGTAAAATATGGGCTTCTCATATGATTTTTAAGCTCATGCATGGTTATTTTAGAAATTTAAATGTACAAATAAATCATTAAAAAAAGTTGTGTTAATTGGTAGATTATGCTAAAAGTTAAACTATTAGCAAATGCTAAAAGATGAAACCATATTGTAAAATGCTAGCATAAATACTGCTGTACATACTGTAATATTAAACAGCACTCATTTAAAGGAACACTCCACTTTTGTTTGAAAATAGGCTCCTTTTACAACTCCCCTACAACTGAACGGTTGAGTTTTAACATTTTAGAATCATTCTCCAGATCAAAAATAATCATATAACACAGTTCTGTTACCTTGGTGGGGACAATTTTCAGGGGCTGCATAATATCATTGTACCTGCTGCAGCCATGGTACGGCAGCAAACATCCTTGATTATTATGCCAGTTCCTCCTTAGCCATATTGACCTAGACCTTTTATTTTCTGTCTGTCTTGACACAATGTAACTACAGCAGAGTCAAGCTTTAAATGGGAAAATTATCAAAACTCTTTTACATTTGTTTTTTTTGAGCTGGACGCTAATGGTCTAATCTGATTCAATGGTTGATCCTAAGCGAAGCTCCCACCAGACCCAAAGATCTGTTTAATGGATTCACAAATTGTAATCCAAAAAACATTCCTTTAAAAGCCCAACTAACAACTTACCAATGAAGAAAGCATATCTTCCCCCAAAATAATCTTCAACTTGAGAGCCACATTTCCTCTCCAGCACCTATTATCACTTGTGAAAGTCTTGCAACCTCTCTGCCTCTTACCTGTACCTCATGCCAGTCTGGAAGGAGATGGACTCCTGCAGGGACACTCCATTGGACCTCAGAAAGTCCTCCAGGTTTTTGAGTTGGGCGGCTGCCCGCACCTCACGCAGGCTCCGAATCTCCCCCATCTCCCCCCCACCCTGCCTCAGAGGGTACAGGCCCTGGTCGGACAGGTATCGGTCGATGTCGCTCCGCATGCTCTCGCTGAAGGACAGGGAAAGCAACTTACTGCTGCTAATGCTGCTGCTTCTCCGCACGCTGTTTCCCGGCGGGCCATTTTTTGGTACCTGTTCAGATGGGACACTGTGTTGGCGGCTGAGGCGGCGGCCGGTGTGCCCGACCCGCAACTCAGTCAGACTGCTTCTATGGGTGGCAAACATGCCCAGCAAGCAGGATACGGGAATCACCAACACACAGAGACAAGTGAAGAGACTGGCATGACTGAGTGCAGTTGCAGGTCATAGATCTGGCTTTAAATAGCGCCCGCCTCTCGTGGCATATCAACACCAGACTCAAACATCCATGCACTGCATTCAGAGCTCACCCGCCCCAGTGGGACTCATATACTATGGTGGAGTTTACTGGTTGATATTGAGAAACCGAATGAAGAAAAGTGTGACTTTTCTGTACTCATGCATGATCAGGGACATTCAGGCATGCGTGGAGAATGTTAAGAGGCCTACAGGAGCCTGATGCCAAATCTATCCAGCATCCAGTTAGTTAAACCAGACTCCTCATGTACTGTATGATGGTCAAAAAATAGACTGCCACTGCCCCCAACAAAGACTACAATCCTAAAAGTAAACATGATGTACTTTTGTCATGGAGTAAGAGGTCACGCAGAGGATGAAATATCAGAAGTGTCTGTATGGATGTTTTTTTTTTTTTCAACTTAGGGCTTTCCTATATAAGTTACAGGATCTTTTTTTTTATTTTTTTTATTAACACACGTAATTATTTTTATTTATTTTATATGAAAACTACAGTAAAATTATCTCTTTATTTGATTCTTTTTATGAAGAAATTTTATTTTATTTTTTTTTTATTTTTACGGATCAGACTACATAATGTAAAAGTAGTAAATGTAAAAAATAGTAGACATTTATACCATGGAAAATATTTATATTTGTATATTCCCATGGATATCTATACCATGAAAATGGTATTAATATCTAGTTTCCAAAAATATAACAAATTTTGTTGAAATTTTGTAGTTTTTGTGGTTCCTTTTTAATAAATGTTTTATCTTTCTGTTTCTAAATATGTTTGGTGACTAAAGAAACTAGTTCATCCTTTTATCAGCAGCAGGGTGGACTACTGTCCTCCTCACAGGCCTTCCCAAAAAGACATTCTAACAATTGCAGCTCATCTAGAGCACATCACTCCTGTCCTTAGGTCTTTACACTGGCTCCCAATTACATTCATAATAGATGTTGAAGTATAATTACTAGTCTATAAATCACTAAAAGGCCTATGACCTCAACACATTATAGATATGCTCACTGAATACAAACCTCACAGATCACTCAGATCATTAGGATCAAGTAGATTAGAAATTCCAAGAATTCGTTCAAAGCAGAGTGTATCCACATTCAGCTACTACAACCCGCACTGTGGGAATCAGCTTTCAGAAAGGATCAGATTTGCTCCAACATTAAGCACATTCAAATCAAGACTTAAAACACATCTGTTTAACTTACCTTTACTGAATAATCACTGTGCTACTTCTGACAGATCACACTATTATGTCTATCTTTTCTTTTTCATTCCTTTAAAACAAGTTAAAACATTTTTATTCTCAGTTGTTTTTATTTTCTTATACTTTTTTCTTCTTTTATTCCTGTATATGTAAAGCACTTTGAATTACTATTGTGTATGAAATGTGCTATAGTATATAAATAACTTTGCCTTGCCTTACCTAAAACTGTTTTGTTCAAATGCACTAAAATATATTCCCTATATTCACTGATAAATGGATAAAAATGTTAAAATGGGGTGTACTCATTTATGCTAAGCACTGTATACACAGTTTAAATAAGTGATTGTATAAATAATTTTTAAATAAAAGTAGTTATTAATTAAAATTCTAATTTAAAAAATATATCAAAAGAAATGCTACCCAGTAATGTATGTGTTCAGTAATGTATTTCTGAACATTGTTATAAATGATCAAATATAATAAACAAGATTAAGTATGAAAAGTTTTGTTTTGCTTTGTTTTTTAAGAATCTCATGGGTTCAAAACTACCATAGCTAAAGAAACATCCATATATTATAGTACTCGCATGATATTTACAAAATTATTTTAAAATGATTTTAGTGGTCTGATCCTGCATATCTGGTGTTTTCACTGACGGTCCAATTGATTTCAGCTCTAAATCTTTAAAAGACAGCAAACAATAGTCAAGAAGGCATGCTAAAAATACTCACTGGTCAAACAATAGCAAACTAACAATGACAAATGACAACAGAAATCCATTTAAAACCAGAAACCCTTTCACAAAGAACTGTATCCTAGAACATATTTTAATAATTCACCCAACAAACATCCACAAAACATCATGAATAAGAAATGTCTTTCTACTAGTAATATAACAGACCAGAATATTGACCATAAAACTCGCAAAATTCCATATAGTGTATATGTTTATATACAGCCATTCTTGTTCACATTTAAGAAGCCACATTTCAGTCTAACGAAGTCAGTCCAGAAGAGTAACAAGACTTTACAGTACATCTCACCAAATAAGACACACCAGATCTACAACATGACACCCTCTCCTCATTCTCCAGAGCTTAGTTTGTTTCCATACCTGACAAAAGCTAAAGTGAGAACTAGAAATAGAACAGAATAGACTTTTATTTCCATTCTTGTGATGAGCTGTTTAGCAGCTTACAATATAGTGGTAATATACAGTACGGTTAGTGCAATATATTGTAGTGTATATTAGTTCAACTTTTATATATATCAAATAAATTATTTTATATATATATATATATAAAAAAAAGTAAAAGCAAAAATAATTTATGTAAAATTGTATTATCTAAAAAAAATAATAGAACATTTGTGTACAATGCTTCTTCCTCCCTACATTTGTCTGTTTCCTCTGCTCATCTATCGTCTATGGGCAGCACAGCATTTAGCAACTCTGCTCCCCTGCTTTGGAACTCATTACTACCTGCCATCAAAAACATTGACTCCATTACTTTATTCAAAATAAGACTCAAAACTCACTTATTTAAGGTGGCTTTTAACACTTAATCGTATCTGTATTATTGTTGTGTCTACTTTTATTTCTATTGTTGTTTTATTGCTCTGGTTTCATTGTATGGTGTACTTGAGTTGCCAAAAAGGCGCCTTTAAATTAAATGTATTATTATTATTATTTGTATTATTTAAAAGATATCCCAAAATTTTTACATTATTTAAAATAAAATAATAAAAAAGCAAGTACATAGGCGTTCAAAATGATACAAACTTTATATAAATACACTACCGCAATTCATAATAAGAGGCAAACCTGCTTTTTTCTACTCTCATCACTAAAACATAATGGTGCAGTAGCTTACAGTGTAGTAGAACAGTATGTGGATCTTTTAAGCCTTGCTTTCTATTTCTGGGACAGGAGTGAGGGTGTGAGCAGGATCATCATGCAACATCCTCAAGCGGGACCCATGTTCAGCTAGAGTACCAGCTTAGTACTTACCCGGTTCCTCGGAGGACGAGTCACGTATGGGTTTTGCACTACACTGCTCATCTGACAGCTTAAATGGTGGTCCGCTGACTGAAGAAGACTGCCGTTTTCTTCTTTAAACTCACTGTCTTTCCAGCATCAGCCTCAGCAATTAGTGAACTGAACCATCAACTCCGCCTACTGAAGCATCAGGCACCGCCCACTTTGGCAAAATGTCACAGAGAAAATGTTTTGCGCACCTATCGCAGGGCAAGAATGCTCTGCAAACATGAATTATTCAGGACAGCTTTCGCTCTAAAAGCCTTTGATGTTGTACCACATGAAAGCATACTGAAAGCACCTTTTTCTTGCTTGTTCAGTGTTTTGAATGAGTATAAAATTTAAAAGGACAAGCTATCCAAAGCAGAACGAAGAACAAGAAATAACATGGTAGCAAACATGGAAAATAAAATACAAAATAAATAAATAAGCAATCCTAATTTTTTAATATAACATTTTAATAAAAAGTTAAAGTAATTTAATCATTTAATTAATTTATTTTATTATTATTATTTAGTATTGTTTTAGCAATATTACCATTATAATATTAGTTCAGATTAATGGTATACATATGTTTAAACTAAACAATAATATATATTTTATTTAAAGAAATTAACTAAATTAAACAATTTACAAATATAGCATGTTTTTAAAATGGTATCACTTTATTTTGATAGTCTTTTTTAGCACATTTTAGTGACTATAAGTTACATTGCAACTACAGTATATACCACCAATTCTATTAGTAGACTGTCTTCTTAAAGTCTACTTTAGCTGGCACTGCTCCACCAACAGACATTCTCCTTACTAAGAAACATTGCAAGTACATGTCAACTTATACAAACTGTTGGAATATTTTTTCAATTCCATGCGTGTTCAAAAAAAAAAAAAAGTTCAGAAAAGATTTTTCTTCAATGTCAAACATATTTGGATACAAATGAATAATTCGATTTACAGAACTCTGTTATCCTCATTGCAATGCACAAGTTACATTCAGGGGTGCACAACTAATTTCATTTCCAGATTCGTGCTTTTATACCTAGTTGATATTTACAGGTGGAGATTAGTGAAATTAGTCACTTGTCAATAATTCTCCAGTCCTCCCTTGGCCGCACCCATACATGCATCCTCTTTTTCTACAATTTCTCTGCACAACATTACAACTTTTCTCAACAGCACATATTCTATGTTCAGTTTTAAAACATTTCTGCTGACAGGAAGTTTAGCTGCAGAGCTCAATTTAATTTTAGACAATCAAGCCTTTGCATCTCTATCAGCTCCATCTACTTCTGCAAAAATGTTTCATTAATATGCAAACACTATCACACTCAACAGAAATTCAGTTAATAAATCTTCTTTAAGCAATACAAATACAACTGTTTAATAAAAAGAGAAAAAGACAAAATATGTTAAAAAAAATAATTTTTCCCAAACAAAACCCTTGAACCCCAACCCCAACCTTACAGTCTACTTACACTCCAATGAGAATTAGTTGAAATGTAACTTAAAATCAATTAAATGTGTTGAAGGGATCATGACAATAAAGTGATACCAAAAGATAAAATCAAATTCACATTTATTCATTCATTTTTATTCGGCTTAGTCCTTGATTTGTCAGGACTCACCACAGAAGAATGAACCGCAAACTTATCCAGCATATTTTTTACACAGCAGATGCCCTTCCACACATGGGCCCTTCCAGCTGCAACACAGTATTGGAATACAACCATACGCTCTCTCACACACACTCATACATACGGCCGGCAGCTAGCTCTCTGCAACTCTCACATGGTCGCCCACTGAAGCTAAGCAGGGCTGCGCCCGGTCAGTACCTGGATGGGAGACCACATGAGAAAGCTAGGTTGCTGCTGGAAGTGGTGTTAGTGAGGCCAGCAGGGGGTGCCCAACCTGCGGTCTGTGTGGGTCCTAATGCCCCAGTATAGTGACGGGGACGCTATACTGCTCAGTGAGCGCCGTCTTTCGGATGAGACGTTAAACCGAGGTCCCGACTCTCTGTGGTCGTTAAAAATCCCAGGATGTCCTTCGAAAAGAGTAGGGGTTTAACCCCGGCATCCAGGCCAAATCTGCCCACTGGCCTTTGTCCATCATGGCCTCCTAACCATCCCCATATTCCAATTGGCTTCATCACTGTCTCCTCTCCACCAATCAGCTGGTGTGTGGTGTGCGGTC